GATTTCTTCCTTCCCTCGCTCTCATCTTTTCCAGCTTCTCTCCAAGCGAAGGCTCCCCCTGGTTGGCAGCGGCCCCTCCTGTTGCCTTCTGCAGCTCCCCTTCCCCTGCCCTGGCCATCCCGGGCGCCGGTTGCAGTGATGGTCTTGCAGCCCTGCATGTTATGATGTTACCCACTGATCTCCCTTTTCTCTCTCTCTTTCTCTCTCTCCCTTTGATTTTCATTTGTATTTTTCCCTCCCCTGCTGTCTGGATCCCAGAAATCCCGTAAGGTAAAGATAAGTATGACCCACTGCACCTCCATCTCATCTGCCATTGGCACGTTGTTCTTTTTTGTTTTCCATTCAGATCTCAGTGTTTCACCCACTCCCCATCTGACCAAGCAGCTTTAGGATCTCTGTAGATTAGAGACACTTGTTTCCTCTTCCGTCATTAATTTCCAGCCAGCTGTTACATTTATTTTATTTTTTTTTCGGAAGCATTTCAATTAATCCGGTCATGTTTCTCGTGTTAACTCCACAAAGCATTAGCTAGTGATTCATATAACTGCATCTCTGCCTCGCTGCTGCGCCTCTGGGGCCGCCCCAGGAGCACAGGAGGGGACGTCGCTCCTGCTGTATGCCCAGGGAACCACGGGGCTGAAGACACACCTGGGACTTTCCGTGCTGTGCAGTTGGGACTGCAGGGTGACAGCAAGGAGAGGGTCTTTCTTCTCCAAACTCGCGGCCACGTGAGGTGCAGGAGAACCTCCCTTAGCCGTTTGCTCTAGGGGACCTGTAGCAGCCGGATGAACCCAAGCCGAAGCCCTCTGGTATGAGTTTGGGTTTAAGCATTAGCCCTGGCGAGGCTGAAGTGATATTTGTTTATTTGGTTTTGGGGGCCACACAAAGCCAGAGGCCTCCACGCCTGAGGGCATTAGAACAGCATCTCCCCAAAATTAAATTCACGGGGAAACCTTTTCCTTGTGTGCCTGCTGGCGGGTGAGCCATTGCAGATTGGCACCGGGAGAAGGGGGCCTCCAGCGCACCTCCCCGCCCCAGGACACAGCCCAGCCTTCGGGGAGGAAGGCAGGGAGCGGGGGAGCGCGGGGGACGGGCGGGTGTTGCTTGCCTTCC